GACCTGGTGGGTGCTGAGTTGGGGCTCCAGTTATGCTGGCAGTGGCCACCATGGGGGTAGCTACAACAGTACGTTGTCCTTGTGCAGTCATTACCTGCTAGGAGGGTATTCCAACCCCTTGGACAGGGCCTGCTAATCCTGCAGGAGCCTTTAGAATTGGGACACCAGCTGGTATTCTTCTGCCAGCGGCTCTGCCAACCCCAGGGCCTCCTGCAGCTCCCACAAGTGGTATGCAAGCAATTCCAGTACCTTGGGGGAAAGTCCCTCCACAGTCATGGAAATAAAAATTCTTCCCACGAAGCAACATCAGACCCAAAACCTGCTTCTCTTCATGCTCTGGCTTCTTCACATTCTTTGGCTTTATCTTCCTGAACTTATCACAACCTCAGAGGATCAAGTTCATATGTTTGTCAAAAGCCTTAAAAGTGCTGATGAAGCTCCGGCCATCTTGTAGGATGCACCTCATTCTATAGTGCAGGGGTCCCCAACCTCCGGGCCATGGACTGGTACCAGTCCGTGGCCCGTTAGGAACTGGGCCCCCACAGCAGGAGGTGAGCGGCAGGTGAGCTTCATCTGTGTTTACAGCCCTCCCCATCACATGCATTACCACCTGAGCTCTACCGTTTGCCAAATCAGCAGCAGCATTAGATTCTCATAGGAGCACGAACCCTACTGTGAACTGTACATGCGAGGGGTCTAGGTTGCAGGCTCCTTGTGAGAATCTAATGCCTGATGCTCTGAGGTGGAGCTGAGGCGGTGAGGCTGGCCCTGGGGAATTTCCTGCAAATACAGATTTTCATTAGCAGAGAGGCTGACTGCACAGAGACCATAATAAATCAATGACTTGCAGACTCGTATCAAAACCCTATCAGTGAGTGGCAAGTAACAATTAAACTGCATCTGGTGGCAGGGTATAAAGCCATTCCCTCTGCCCCCCTTCACTGATCCGTGGACAATTTGTCTTCCACGAAACCAGTCCCCAGTGCCAAAAAGGTTGGGGACGGCCGCTATATTCAGTGTGCTGCAGCATCTTGCTGCTCTTTCCCACAGTCATGATGGCTGTACCACCAAATCTAATGTCCACAGTAAAGTTTCAGGGTCCTTAAGACCGAAGGGAAGGCTACAGATAAAGGTATGAGGCAGGTTTTGCTACAAACAATGCAAGCTGGCGCAGAAGCTTCAAACAGTAGGTGGAGCCTAGTTTTTCTGCTGTGGGTCAGCTACCTGGGATGTACCATGACTGCTTTAGCCACCTCTTGGTGTCTCAGCCAAGAAAGCCTGCCTCAGTTCCACCAAGTACTCGCTGCTGCTGAGATCACCTCTGGTATAGCTGACACTCTACTGTGCTCAGGGAGGCTGTCCTCCTACAGTTGACCTAGACTTCCACCTTGTGCTGTTCCGTAGTCCTTCTCAAGTGTAAGCGGTCCCTGGATTGCTCCATTGTGTTACTGGCCTACAACGTCAGGCATCTCTGGCGGCTGCTCTGCTCTGTGCTGGCCTCACAGCCGCAGCACCAACCCCAGAGTTAATTTATTTTAACTATAAGAATATATTAACTTAGCATTTTAAATAAACATGTAAAAATGTTTCAGGGCATTTTGGTAAGCTGGAGAGGGTGAAGGTAGGAGGGAGAAAGCTGTACCTTCTCATTCCTTTCTCTAGGTCAGAGGCCCTCAGATGAGGTTACTATAAAAAGTGGATCGAGGTGCACCGGGTAAGTAGAATGAAGGGGAGAAGCTTTTGGGAAGAGGCCTGGATCTTAGTGGCGTCCATTTGATCCTTTCAAAATTTCCCCTCCAAAGCTTCTTTCTGCTCCTGGCTGCATATTCAAGTATCAGATTGGTTTATCCTACCTGCTCATACTGCTCAAAAAGCTGAAGAATCAAGGGATATTTTCATGTTTATTTTAAAGTAATTTTACAGCCTGGCTTCCAGGTGTATACCAGGGAAGGGTTTGAGCAGGGAAGGTGGTGGAAGTGATAAGCACCGGACTTCATACCCTCGGCCTTGACCCTGTGCACCTTTCTTGCAAAATAGTGGGGCCTGAACCACCCTCAGGATGTTCTGCGCCAGAGCTGTCCTGTTAAAGTTTCTGAGCCTGAGATAAGACACATGGTCTGCTTTGCCTCTGCCCCCAGCATCTTCACACTAGTGTAAAGAAACATTCAAAAGTCACTTCAGAGGAGAAAGGGGAATGACTAAAGCAATTTGCTTCTCTAACCAGGGTGAATGGAGAAGTTATGGCTGGCAGACCTTAGCATTGGTGGGAGAGCATCATGGGCACTGGGAAGCTGGTTAACACGACCATTACATTCCTATACATTTTGTCTATTTATACTACTTCTCAACTGCTTCCCTAAGGGTCCATGAGCAACTGCCTGTCTCCCCTTCCTCTTTCCCTCCAACATGGGAAACATGTCCCAAAGTCACTGCTCAGCTCTGTGCACAGTCCTAGCCATGACATTTCTTGTTTTCCAGGAACTCAGAGTCCCCTCTGAGGTGATACTAGTGGTTGCTTCCTGTGGAAGGCTCCATGACTTCCTCTGTCATGAGGCTGTAGGAAGAAGACTAGGGCAGGATTTCCCTAATCATCTATGGGTTCCCACCAGACTGGCCTCATTCACAGAAGTCAGTGCATAATTAATTGTTCACTGGAAGGGCCTGTACATCAGAGTAAGAGAACCTGTGACTGTGGTACTGCATCACCAACTTGTTGCTCTCCTGGGTTTAGGCAAGTCTTTCACTTCTGGGTCTCAGTTTCCTAGAAGGCCCATCCTCATACATGGTCCTTGTTCAGTGTCAAGAAGGCACTTCATGTCAGTCACTAGACTCAGTGTCTGCCACAGGATGTGTGTCCCTGGGAGTAGAACTCTGGGTATTCCTGTAGTAGGATCTGGACATGCAAAGTGGAACTGGACATGAACTTATACAGCAGGCAGGTGCACCCTCCACCCTGAGCTGTGAATGGGCAGGATGGCCAGAAACCTACCTCTGACATGTCCTTTTGCTTCATTCAATCCACTGAGCATTTATGCAGCACCTAGTAAACACTTTCGGATGCTGAAGATAAAAGGATAACAGAGAGTCCCTGTTTAGCCTCAAGGGTCTTCTGATTTAGTGGGGGAACTCATATCACAGGAGAGTCCAAGGGCTAATATTCCCTCTTTCCTGCTCTTTTCTCTACCTACCGTCTCAGCAGTGAGGTCCCTCCTCCTGTTCTTACTTGGATCTTGGCTCTGTTTGTCTCCTGTCTCTCAACCTCTCATGTCAATGTATATCCATTCAATTCTGTTGTAAAGGACTGAAGAGGGTATTTAAAAAAATAATTTAGCAATTTTTATTACATCAGGCATCATCTTACAATGGGGACTAATTCATGATCAGAGATAATACTTGCTGGACAGTTTGAAGGGTATTTCTGGACACTTTGTGCAGATCCCACCTCTAATTTTAACTTCAACATCTGCACCCAGATATTCTTTCATCCACGAAAAATTTATGGAGCTTCTTACTCTAGGCCAGGCACCTCTCCAGGCTTTAGGAATAGAGCAGCTAACAAAGCAAAATCTCTGTCTACACAGCCTTACATTGTAAAGTGGAGGCAAACCAACAAAGTCCTATATTATAAGATGTCTGGTATGATAAATACTATTTAAAGAAATGAAGCATCGTGAGGGGTTATAAATTACTGCAGAAAGCTGAGTGCTCTGATAGATGAGGTGGTCAGGAAAGTTGCCTCCAAAAACAGTGGGAGAAGGTGTCAGGCAGGTAACTGGGGAGAGCCCTTGCTAGGCAGGAACAATAGAAAGTGCAAAGATCCTGAGATCAGAGGTACTTCTGTGTGAGAGTCAACAAAGAGAATGTTGTGATTAATTACAGTAGAGCAGGGGATGGGAAGAAGCATAGAAAGTGAGGCAGAGCCTCTGGGCCATGACCAAGACTTTGCTTTTTATTGTGAGTGAGAAGGAACAAAATGTTGGAGGGTTTTGCACATGGGAATGAAAACATCTCACTTTTGGTCTAAAGGATTCCTGTGCCTGCTCTGTGGAGAATACATTCACTATAGGAAGAGAAGAGTGAAAGGTAAGAGATTAGTTGCAGCAATCCAAGTATGAAAAGAAGGCTGTGATCAGGGTGGTTGGTAGTGGCAGGAGTGACAAAAAAGGTGATAAAATTTGGGATATATTTTAAAAGCAGAGCCAACAGTTGGCTCTAAGGGCTTGGACACAACTCAATTGTCAACAACTATTTGAATAATCACATTCAAAGTAGAAAAAACCGTTTAAAAACACAGGTCTTCATTGTTAAGCAAACACCCAGTGGCCAAGGGACACTAATATTAGGGCATGAATAGTCAAAGGTAGGAGGGATGGCTGCAAATGGTTAGTGGATGATTTTGCAGAACGTTTTATATTTCGCTATTTGTAAAATTAAAAATAAAAAAAGGATAGAGAGATACAATACTACTTCCCAACTAAAGACAATCCCTATTTAAATATTTTGTTTTGTCTGAAAGACAGGACCCCTGGGGGTCTTCCATTACTCTGAAGCAATGTATGACAACTGCTGTTGCGGCCAGCAGTGCCAATAGCTCCCTGGGTGAGTGTGATTTAAATAAGCAAGAAAATGTGTTAACAAACATCACACAAACGGAAACTAGTGGCCACTTGCCCACCAAGGAGCACTGCATTGTGTGAGTCGGCTGGACTGGGGGGTAGTTAATCCTTTAAAATGGAGCAGATTGGACCTCTCTGAGAGATGGGTCTTAGCGCTCGCTGGGTCCTGGCAAATGCCAGACCCCTATCCAGAGCTCGGCCACAGTCCCCCGTCTTTATACGTGTGCCTTAAGAACACCCTGCCCTGAAACCTGGAAGCTCTGCTCACACCCTGTCCACGCCCTCCCCGGTCACGTTTTTGCAGCCCTACCCGCCCACTCTGGCCACGCCCTCACGCTGCGCCGGTGCCTACCCAGGATACGCTCCCTTCCCCTCTCCGCCCTCCCCATCCCAGCGACGCGCTGGCAGGCCGGCCTCAAAAGCAGCTTTGTAGGCGGAAATCGCACAGCTGCCCGGACCTCTGCGTTTGCCGCTTTCCTCTCGTGGCCATCAACGCCTCCACGGACGCGCATTTCCTGCGAGGCCTCTGTGGGCACCGGAGGCGAGCCGAGCCGAGCCGAACGGAGCCGAGCCGAGCCCTACCTTTCCGAGCTGTTCGCCATGGTGGACGAGCTGGTGCTGCTGCTGCACGCTCTCCTGGTGCGGCACCGCGCGCTGAGCATCGAGAACAGTCAGCTCATGGAACAGCTGCGCCTGCTGGTGTGCGAGAGGGCCACCCTGCTGCGCCAGGTACGTCCGCCGAGCTGCCCGGTGCCTTTCCCCGAAACGTTTAACGGCGAGAGCTCGCGTCTCCCCGACTTTATCGTGCAGACGACGTCTTACATGCTTGTCAACGAGAACCGGTTCTGCAACGACGCCATGAAAGTGGCATTCCTAATCAGCCTGCTCACCGGGGAAGCCGAGGAGTGGGTGGTGCCGTACATCGAGATGGATAGCCCCCTCCTGAGTGATTACCGGGCCTTCCTCGTGGAGCTGAAAGAGTGTTTTGGCTGGGATGACGAAGAAGACGAAGAGGAGGAAGAATATGGTTACTAGGCCCGGAGACCCTCGGGCCTAGGGGTTTGGGCCGTGCACGCAGCACCCGGAGCCCTCGATCCCGCTCCGCCCCTCCCACAGCTTCGTGCTCCCCCGGCCCCCCCGACCTTCTTCCCTACTCCTGCCCTTCTGTTCTTTCCCTTCATTTCCCGTAGTGCTTGTCTTTGTTCCAAGAGCTGTGCTCCAGTTGCCTGCTGCGGGGGCCTGGGGTTATCTCTGAAGCGCACTGCCATCCGCTCTGGCCAGCCCCAAAACGCACCCCTGCTAATTTGGACTGTGTCCTGAGCCCCACCTGGTCAGAAAATGCACAGCCCGGCCAACTGCCAGGCCTACATCGGCCCAGAGACCTACGCTGCCCCTACGCCACCGTCCACTAACTACATTCCAGCAACAGACCACCACCGCCTTTGGGAATAAGGACCAACCTAGAAGATGCCTGCGTTGGTTGCACCTCCTTGGGACATTGATATGGACATCTCACCAATCCCTAAAGGGGCCGGTCTTTCAACCTTGGTTAGTTTCAGACCTATTCCCAGAGTCCTCCCCTCCCCCATCATATTGCTGCGGGGGCTCAGTGTGCCTGGCAGCCAAATTGTCGACATTTCTTTTCTCCTATGCGCCAGTTTTACATAGCTGTCATTTTTTTTTGTTTAAAAATTACAGCAGTCCTACAGATGTGTGCATTTGGACAAAAATACTAAAAGTAAACAAAAACAGGCATTCAGCCCAGCTTCTCAATACTATCTGGAAAACGCACTTGAGTTCTTTTCAATAAATACCAAGCACTACGGAAAAAAAAGAAAAAGGAGTGTCTTTTAATGGTTAAGTGCGGTCATTGGCCTCTACCACTCTCACCTGAACTCCATTATTCCCATTGGGATCGGGGAAGCTAGTCGAATCCCAGTATTCCCTAGCGGCATCTCTAGGCTGCCGAGGTCAAGGTACCACAGGGCTGTATAGGGATTCTTGTGCTCCCCTCACCAAGGTATTTCTTAAAACTTTGGTGAAGGGAGTGTCTTCTGGGTCCTCCAGGGTAGCACACCATCCCAAACTGGCACACTTGAGAGTGAGAGGGGGTACCGTTAATAATTAGACTAGGACAACAGACATAAGTCTGAATACATACAATGTTCGTACTTTCCTGAGCCTTTGAGTTCCTTCCTGAACACTGCCAGGGAAGTTCTACCCCTTAATCCTTATTTCCTGCGGGTGCTATTGATGTAGGGTTTAATTAACGTTGGAGCACGTTATTTTAATTCTCCTTTCAGGTGCTCGAGCTAACATTAAGTTCTGGATCCTGGGTAAGTGCACCCAAAATAAATAGAGCCTGACCTTAATGTTTCATCGTTCTCGAGCTGACACCCTTAGAATGCTCACCCATCCATGTGCCCCAGATCCCTGCCTTTGGGAATTGGCAAGATGCCTGGGGGTCTCCTGAACTTCACTTTGCACTGCTGAGCTCTAGTGAGATCTTCCTGTGGGCCTAGGGGGCTCAGACATTGCAGAGTCAAAGTCCAGTGGGTGGATGCTGAGGAGAATCTGCATACCTTTGGAAGGTCATTATCCCAGCTTAAGTCATGCACATGTCCTATCAGAAAACCTTGGCTGAGGGGTTGTGGGGGCGGGGAAGGGAGGTGCCTCTGGCAGCCAGGAAATTTCAGGAGGATTTGAAACGTTCAGATTTCTTACTTTCACCTGTGTCTGCCCAAATATTATTGTACCATGCCTGGAGCCAGCCCTATTAGGACCTCTGAATTGAGAGGATATATTTCCTTATTGTTTAAGACCTTTTGAAGCTGGGTATTTTTATGTGTACTGGTCAACCTTAAAGTGGATTAAATGAGATACCAGTCATTATACTGGCCACCACCTCACAATTGTGGAGTTGATGAGATCACACCCCTGAGGTATTTAGAACCGTCCTTGCTACATGGTGAGCACTCAGTAAGTAGGCCTGAGAACCGACGTTTCACTTGAAAACGAGTCTCTTGCTATGAGCTTGGCTTTAGTTGCTATGAACAGGGGCAGAGCAGGCTCGGGGAGAATGAAAATGAGAGCATAGCAAGACCTCATTTATTCTTTGGGATCTGGTGTGAAGCCACAGAGAAAGCCAGTTGACTTGGTAAAACAGGCAAAAACCAGGGCAGCAGTCATTTCTCAGGCCTAGGACAGTTGTTTCTGGAGTATGGGAACGGGTGGATACTACTTAGCAAAGGAGATTGAGGCCCAAGTTGAAGGAAAGTGGGCAACAGCAAGACCAAAAATCAGTCATTGGAAATTACCAGTGGTCTAGGTATACTGAGAGGAGTTAGAGACATGGTGGTAAATGGAAGATGGTTTTATCCTCATAGAAATTCTAGTTTGTTGTTTTTGTGGTGCCTTGCAGCAGAGCTGGGAAGATATTTAGCTACAGGTAAGGTTCAGAAAGGGAATCTAGGTTCGAGACTGTGATTAGATGTGGGAGTGGCCTTCCCCGGGGTGGAAGTTGAAGACCAGTATGTGAGATTTACTCCTCACCCAGTGAGCACATTCTCTGTAGTGAAGGAAGGGGATTTCTGGTGAGTGAGGATACCATTCCAAGGTAGCATCTTACTAACATCCAGGAAAGCTAGGTCAAGGAGCTTCTGAGACCTGAAAGGGGCATGCGCTTGCTCTGAGTGTGTGTAGGTGTTGTCCTTCACATATCATGGAAAAGCAGGTTGTGTGTAAGCTGCAGAGAACCATAGTCTGAGAATATGGCTACCTTGGGGGTGGATTCCATAGTAACACCACAGATATTGGCAAAGGCTGTACCACCCAGGAAGTAATTCATGAAGCTGCCATAAGGCAGAGTAAAAGAGAATGGAGGAGTAAATAACCATGTCTCAAGATAAGAGCAGAACTCAAATGGAAATGGTTAAGAGTGGATGAAAATGTTGAAATAACAAAAAGGAACTTCAGACTCCTGTATTCTCATCTTGGGCACACTGGGTTTGAAATGGTCACTGAAATTATGCTATTAATGGCATGAAATTAGTCATAATAAAGATCACAATCATTTAATCATATTAAATCTACCAGTGTATCTTTGGATTTCCTTAATCATTTGAATAGTTCAGCACTGCCACCCTAATTCTGTGTTGCTGTGTTTTGCAAGATGGTAGATAAACAGAGAGATACATTTTGTACATTGTGTTCGGTTATTTTCTGCTACTACAACATAGTGAAAACATCAGCAATTAGGAAGTAGGTAGTCTAGAGGGAGACTTCTTGTTGAAATTAGTGGGATATTTATATTTTAATTATTTAAAAATATTTTATTGTTTATGTTATTACAGTTGCCCCAGTTTTTCCAAAATAGCTATCATTAACAAATCAACAAACAAGTGCTGGATATTTATGTTTTAAAAAATGAACCTTAAAAATTTTCTAGGTTCTCAAAGCAATTAAAACAAAGCTAATAAGGGTTATCAATACAAGATCCTGAGAATGTTTTCTTCAATGGATGATCAGGGTGGGACAATTGTATGAAGTGTATTTATTAGTTGCTTTGAAATATAAATTTCACTAAAGTACTGTTAAAAGAATCTGGTAGTTTGCATCACAGAATAGTTCAAGTATATTATTCCCTATAGTCTTACGTTCACTTGGTTCTAAAAGTAGATACAATGAACCCTCTGGTGTCCTTCCACAGTGCTGGTAACCACCTGTTTCTCAATGAAAATCTGATCACCTCCACCTTGCATCTTTACCTTCCTGTCTGCAGTACCTCTGTCAGGATATTTTCCTTCATCTTCAAATGTTATATTGTCCAGAGACATATTTTTAAACAATGCAATTAGACTGGAATAGGTAATAGCTTGCTTGAAGTAGCAATTATGAGCAGCAGAGCAAGATTTGTTAGTGGAACAGAATGCTTCCTGTGGATGAGAAGGGGGAATAGTGCAAAAAGTGGGTTTCAGAATAGCAACGTTTATGCATCTCCCTTTTTCCCTTCAGGGCCTGCTATCTGATATAATCAATAAGAAATTATATTTTCTTATCATACTGTCCACAAGATTTGCATTCCTCCTCCCTAAATGACAAATGATTTCATCATAAAATTGCAATAATATATTTCTTTTGTTTTAGCCAAAGTCACTACACAGTCAGTTTAACTGAATTTCCAGTCATTCAGAATCATCCAGTCAACTCAAGATTAAAAAATAAAAACAAAAAAAAAACTGTTACATGACTGGTTATAGGCCTTATTTCAAATATTTAATTTTAAAACAAATACTACCAGTAAAAGAAAGCAAAGGAAATTATATTTCAATAGTAACTGAAGTAATCATGATAATTTTTATTTATCTGTTCTCTAGACACAGATAATTGCATGGCAGTACAGGACTTTTGCAACTGCTCATTTGAATGTACACAATTAAATTTGTAACATATATACAAATAGAATAGTACAATGAGCCTGCATAGACCCCTCCCTGGAATCAAAATTTACTAACATTTTTTTTTGCCTAATTTATCCCTTTTATTTCTTATAATTGATATGGAATATTTTAAATAAACTCCGGATACATCAATTTACTCTTCTGTGTGTCAGTATATTCCTCTACCAGATAAGGCTTTAAAAACAATCTGTGATACCATCATCACATGAACTAAAATTAACAGTGACTCCTTAATATTTAATACTCAATTTTATTCAAATACCTCACTGTCTTAGAAATGTCTTTTTTCAAATATTTTATTATTTATTTTTAGAGAGAGGGGAAGGGAGGGAGAATAAGATGGAGAGAAACATCAATGTGTGGTTGCCTCTCACACGCCCCCTACTGGGGACCTGGCCTGCAACCCAGGCATGTGCCCTGTCTGGGAATTGAGCCAGCAGCGTCCCTTTGGTTCACAGGCTGGCACTCAATCCACTGAGCCACACCAGCTGGGGACAAAATGTCTTTTTAATTATTTGGCTAAATTACATTTCAAAAAAATGTCAACACATTTGGTTTACATATCTCTTAACCCTCTTTTAATTGGTAAAAATTCCCCTCCACCCTTATTTGCCCTGCAATTTATTTGTGGAGGAAAGCAAGTCATTTGTCCTGTGGAATTTTCTATTTCCTGTACTTGCTTTATTCTTTTCATATCCTTGCCCAATTTTCTCTTGGGTTGTTGATGTTTCTTTTTCAATTTTTCAGAAATGCTTTATTTATTAGGGATCTGTAACAAATTAAATATTTATGTCCAGTTTGTCATTTGCATTTTCACTTTCTTTATGATATTATACGCTGTTGAGAAGATGTTTAATATAATTGCATTTTCCCACTATGTCCTCCCATTTCTGTGCTCTCCAGTTTATTTGCTTGCATTCTTTTAGTGTTACACCCTTAAACTGTGTATATACCTCTATTATTTTTCAGAAACAAATGATTTATTTTGACTTGCCCATGAAAGATGAAGAACTCAACATTCACAGTAATACTTTTCCCTATCAACTTTGTAAGTTACATTGTTTCTATGTCAGTGTCCATAATATTTACGTGTTTTCTTGTGAGCATAATCCCCACATGTTTTAATCTTAATATATCAGATAAATGAATTAAATAATTACTATCTTGTCCAGTTTTCATTTAATTTATTTTTGTTAGCTAGTCCCTCCACCCCTTTTATAGTTGTTTCTTAAAAAAAAAAAAAAAAAACCTCCTGAAAACTATATGCTCTGAGTTTCTGAAGGTGAGTTCATGGATCACATTTTCTTTTCTTTTATTGCTCCATTATCTTTTAGTGTTGAATGTTATTTTGTAAAAGTCTGA